ACAAAACAACGTTTCTTTCTGGTTTCTGTTTCTAGTTTAAAGCATTTTTTTAAAAAAGTCCAGACATTGTTCTTGTATCATCTTCTGACCAGGAAACTCTATCATCTTGGACCGCTGCCATCCCCAGCATTGCATAAGGCTTAATTCCTATAATTCTTCTAAACAAAAATAAGAGAAAGAGGAAGTCCATGTGTGAATGTCTGTGAGACTGCTAGGGAGCTGCAGTTTTCTCTGGGAGCAGCACTAACTAATGTACAGCGAGACTTTCATTGGCATTGCAAATGGATAGAGCTTGCTCCAGATGTTTCACTTACACTTCATGCAAAGACATTGGCAGTGCTTATGAAGCAAGGTTACTAGTTTGCATAAACGAGCCTTAACAGGAAGTAAGATTTTAAATAACATCTCTAAATTTGAAATGCAAAGATTTCCAGTGCTAACTTAGCTCAGTTTTCAAGAAAACAGAATTGCACGAGTAAGGGCACATTTTTGTTTTCATTACTATGCTAACAGAAAAAAACTAAATGTACCTACCTTGTTGTCCATGCTTAAATGTAATGCAACATTTATCAAGCTCCTCTAAAAATACAGCAAGCTGTCTCAGGGATGCTGAGCTAAATATATAGTTGAGATCATCATTTCTCTGTTCAACATCTACTGGAAGCACACAGCAAACCCTCGGTTTCACTGGTTGTTCTAAAGTAAAAGGTGTCTTGAAGGTATCATCCTTTTCACCGTAGGATGTCATCTGAACATGTGTTTAAATCTCACTTGGTCAATTTAGGATAAAGCATGTGTGGCACCTTATAAAAGGGATAGAGCCAGAAACAGTGGAAAAGGTTAAACTTGTTTCTGCCCTTCTTCTTTCCCTTCCCCGCTGTGCTCCCAACTTAGCACAAGTGACATTGAATGAGAAAGGCTAACATGGTGTGACCTGTCACTGTCTGTGTAATCCACTTAGCACATGTAAAGGGTATAAAGCGATACTAGTCTGAACTTCTGGAGTTTGCATTTTGTTTTAATGAAGATGATGTACAGAGTTCCTTATGCTGATATATTCATAGAACAGGTTTTATCTCTTTTTGTTCAAAGTTAGTGGATATTAGAATAATATTAAGTAGTGGCTCTCTCCTTAGAGGTTTTTTTTTAATGCTTTAATGTACTGATCTGATGGTCTTTTCTACATATAACTTGTACGGGCTTTTTTCTTGGCAAGATGTCTGTGAGCTTTTCTTCCTACACCCAGAGTATGTGTTGTGAGACAGGCAAAGAATCCCCAAAACTACTCTGGAGTGTTGGTTTCCTCATTCTGTGAGGAGCAATTGCTGTAACAGATGCCAGTGTATGGACTTAGACACATTATATGTCGTCAAACTGATTTTAGTACAGCGACGTAACATCATGAGATTTGACAATAACAACATGTAATGTTTTGAGAGCCTGCGTGTACATCATCTCTCTACTTAGAAAAATCAGAGGAAAGTTTGCAAAATCCTTTACGGTTTGAGACCTTAATTTGGAATATTCCATTTTTTTGCATCCAGCCATGACTGCCCTGATTAGTGTGTAGTTCATTTTTTACTGAATGGGTGATGTCTGCAATCAGATCTTGCCCTTTTTGGATTTTAATTTTTGCTGATGAAACACCAGTCTCAGCTGGGCCTGATCCTTGACAAAGCTTCCAAGTGCTCCCTGAACAAAAGTGACTAGTAAATTATTTCCAGTTCCTCTGGTCAGAGCTCTCTTCTCTGAGGTGGTGGTTTGTATTCAAATTAATTTTTATTTTTTATTGATATTATGGCAGTGCCTAAAGACATAAACCTATATTGAGAGCTCACTGTGCTGACACTGTAATATGCATAGAGTTACTCTCTGTGCAAAATGTTAGAGAATGCAGTGTAAAAGAAAGCAATTTTCCATTTTAGAGACAAGAAGCTAAGAAGAAAAAAGAATTACATGCTCTGCAGGCATAACAACGTTGTCTTCTTCCCCCTTAGCCCTTCATAATCATGTCAAAATAGACAGTTTAGGTCATTTACTGATGACCTGTGAATGCCATGTCTGTCACAGCCTTTTAAAATGTACAAGTGACAAAGTATTCCCAATAAAGTTTAATTAGCATAGCGACTGAAGACTTGTGAGCATAGCCAAAATGCATTAGGGCTAATATTGTGGGAGGTCTAGCTATGGGCTAAGAGATTACTCAATTGAGATTGCCAGTGCATAGCTGATCTGGCTATTTCAAATTATCAGAACCTAATTAAATGAAAACATACGAGCAGATAATGAGTGGAGCTGTTGGCTAGAAAATCCTCCAATATTAAATCAGAAGTTTCCTTTAGGGGCAATTAAAATACAGTGAATATATCTTAGGCTGTGTGTTAATCATCAGTATTATAAGTGAATCTGATACTGGCCTCGAGAAGGATTTTAAAATTGAGTTTTTGTTACAAACTTTCCAAAGTTCATGCAGGGTCTTCACGCCCTGTGCCGCTTCCCCCAGTGTGCTACCTCCAGTTGCAAATGAATGAGGCTGTTCTAGCCTGCATACATGTTTTTTAATTGCTCTTGAAAGTCACAACCTGATTATAGAATATTGACAGGCCCTTGAGGAGTAAAGGGGAGAAGTTTGGAGCCGCGCAGCAGCAACAAAATGCTAGCAAGGACAGCTCTGCTCAAGGCAGGTGCTGAGCAGCGCCCTCTCTCACTTGCACAGTTTTGTTTTCTGTGATGGGGTCTGTCTTTTGGGGCACGTTTAGTGCCTGTCCCAGCCCGTGAGGCAGCAGTGAGGGACAGTGGTGCTGCACTAAGCACAAGGAGTCTTGAATGAGAAGGACCCACTTGCCTTTCAAACCACAGCGGTCAGCCTGTTTCATTTGGTTGACGTGGCTCTTGGGAGGAGTGCATGAGATGTGTAAATAGTGTGGTGTGGAGTGGTAAGTAGGAGGTGTATTTCTTCTTTGGATCAGCTGAGACCATCACAGGTGATAGCCATGGGCCTCTCCTGGTGCTGGCTGGGCAGACTGTCATGCTGGGACTGGAGAGGGCTGCCTGGCTGCAAAACACCTGCAAGAATGAGATATTGTAATAGAAGAGTATAAATGTGTCAAATACCTGTGAATATGATGTGTGTTTTGGTTGAGGTATTGCTCATTTCTTTGATACAAAAGCAGTGTTAGGTGATAAAACACTCTACATATTCCACCAGTTTGAATTTTTTCCACCAGTTTCGTTTAATTTGATTTTCTTCCATTTCATCTGCTCAGCCCTTGACAGGCTACCTGTGCTGGTACTGGAGTCCCAGTAATCCCAGCAATCAGGCTTCAAAACAGTTGCCACCCCATGAAGGCTGGAGGAATGCTGGCTCTTGGTTTGCTCCATCTCATGGGCAGCCCTGGGCTCCTCGATGGCTGGGTCCTGCCCTCACTGCTGAGCTCCTGGCCTCAAACTCCTCTGGCTCCAGGAGCAGTGTTTTTGAGAATTACGGCTGCTTCTCATTGTCCCACAGCCATTAATATGGGCTGTATTTTTGGTTCCTGGCCATGTGGCTTGGCTCTATTAAAACAGATGTTGTCCAGCTACAGCCTGCTTTTCTAAGAGATCTGGATCGCTCGGCATCAACGGCCTGTCTTCGTCTTTATTTACTGCTCTTCTAAGTATAGCTGTTTTCAGATTTAATTGGGGATGCTGATGTGGATAAAAGTGTTAAATACCCTGGGACCAAGATCTGATCCCAGCAGGACCCCTCTGGAAACATACTGACTCAGTGGTTCCTATTTAAAATTAGATTTTGACACCTGTCAGCCAATTTTTTATTTAATATGTGCTGTGTTCACTTTATATCATTCCAATTTCTCAATCAAAATATCAGCCACCTTCCAGAAGTCTGTTCCACGGACACTGTTATCCCTGTTAACCACAATTGTCTCAAAGATAGAAGGTTGTTTGACAGACTCTGTTTTCCACAAAACCTTGTTGATTGCCGTTACTTATTTCCTTTCTTTCTTAATCATGTCCTGTCTCCACTTGTCCATTATTTTGCTGGGATAGATGCCAGGATGACAGGCTTATAATTATCTGGGTCACCCCATTTATCCTTTCTAAATATCCTTTTCTGGAACTTTCCCATTGTTCCACACTTTTTTTGAAAATGAACATGCAACAGTCCAGAAAGTCTTCAGCCTTTCTTAAACATTTTGAAGCAAGTATTTGGATATGTTGACTTTAAAAATGAGAGACCAGGGATCTTACATCCTCCTAAATAGAAACTGCGGTGAAAAGTGTCCCGGCGTTATCTTGTGGCTGTGACTTGATGCTCTGCTGCTTTCCCAGAGCCTTCACGAGCTCACGGTCATGATGTGCTTCAGGAGCAGTCCTGTGCTTTCTGTGTTACTGGTGTCATTACGGACAGGTCTGTCACTGGTCTCCAATAGTGCCATAGTTACAATTCCCTTTCTTCCTAATAACACTCTTCGGTCTGATATACAATTTAAAAAAAAAAAACGGGTAGAAAATCAGAAGTTAATGAAAACTTTAATGAAAACAAACCAAGTCTGTTGGTTTGTTTTTCGAAGCACATGGGAGTAACAAATGAGCTCCAAATTTATGGATGTAGCGTTAGCAAGTGAATCCATTTTGAAATGGGTTTGTGTCTTCTTGCACAGATGGCTGTCTACAGTCGCTCATTCTCCATCTTGCTGGTTTGTGTGGCTACCAGGTTTTTGGACAAATGGCTTGGCTTTGCCTCTGAGTGTTTGACTTTTCTATGTTCTGTTTAATTTTAAATTCAAATCCCAAATTTCAGAAAAAAATCTTTACCTTCCGCACTGAATGACATTATCTTAGGTCTTCAAATACAGTTGCTAATTCCTCTTGCCCCAGACATGATGGTTTAAAAATCTGCTAGAGTAATGGGCATAAATTAGATATATTAGATGTAAGGGTGCAGGAATATTTTGAGTGTGTTGTGACAGCTGGAAATTGTGTCCTTCCTCTTTTAGGGTGGTTGGTGGCTTTGAGACTCTGACTGCTATGGAGAATGTGGAAAGTGACCCAAAAACAGACCGTCCCAAGGTATGTGTGGAGCACCAGGGGCTGTGCAGGAGGGAGCGAACACATAGCCCTCATGTGGCAGTGCAGTTCACCCCGCTGATGCTTCTCTGAAAGCCGAACTTGGGAGAGATGGCGCAACTTAATCAGCAGATTGATTTGCTCTTCTTCTCTTCTGCTCCCAGGAGGAAATACAAATTCAGACAACAACCGTTTTTGTTGATCCGTATGAAGAGGCAGATGCCCAGGTGAGGATAGTTGGTTGGTTGGGTTTTTTGAAAGGCCAAAGCTCTTTGGAGAACTTTGTAACTTAATGCCTTTTCTTTGGACATGGGCAGCCCCCTGGCCCATATGGTTGCAAGCTAAGATTATACAGCTGCCATTCAGCATTGCCTTGTGTGCCAGGGTCATCGCCGCTCTTTCAGCAGAGAGGTCTTGTAACTGAGTCTGGCACAGCTCCCAGTCTGTCACGCTTACGATGGCTTTCTTTCCAAATGCCCACAGTAGCTATGGGTAGCTGCAGGTGAGAAAAGAGGAGTTTTGTTATAATGGCTGCAGACAGCCTGTTTGTAGTGGCCCTTGAGGTCTGTCTCCTAAAGACTGCCCTGTAATCATAGCAGTGCTGATTGCTGTTCTAGAGTGCTTTAAAGCTTCAAAGAATTGTAGACATTTTCTCCTTACTCTAGACTAGCTCTTGCAACAGATTGCACTCTTTTCTTCCCACAGGTTGCTGCAGAAAGAGAGAAGGTCCAGCTAGAAGAAGAAGCAGCCAAAACAAAAGCTGAGGTGGTCCCACCAAAGAAAGAGGTCCAGACTCCTAAAATGTACCGGCAGGGGATTGGAAAATACATTAACATGGCTGCAGCGTGAGTTCCCTGCCTATCTGATCTTTGTCAAGTGTATTAGTTGCCTTTCCTGCTGGATGCTGACCCTGTCCAGTGCCATTGCTCAGATGTTTGGTTTGTGCCAGCAGGCTTCGCAAAGGCATCTTCATGCAGTCCTAACAGTCAACAGTTCCCTATACTTCTGTTGTTTTTCAAGATTACAAGTTAACTGAGCTTTTCTTTTAGCACTTGAACATGACCAAGTTGGTCTTTAACAGCATGTGCTGACTTCAGAACTGTAGCTACATTTCCACAACTCAGAAGTCCTTGAGGAATTGTACTGTGTCACTTCCTACACCATCTTTTATTCTCTTTCTCTTCTGCAGCTATTTCTGAAGGCCACGGTCCCACAGACGTTTCTCTTTTAGCATCTTCTCCCCTGCACAAAGTAGTTGCCTTAAACCCGTATCAGTCTGCTGATCTGGTTCCCTGTTCAGCCGCACAAACAGTTGTACCAGCACAACTGAAATGGCCGGAAAGGGGAGCAAGTTCCCAGGCTTGCCGTGGGAGCACAGGGCGTCTGGCGAGTAGCTCCAGGGTGCCTGGCTGGTTGTACAGGCTTGTCCTAAAGCATCGTCTCCCAGACACCCTTTGTACACCCATTGGGATTGGCAGCATCGCTTGCTTTCCTAAGGACAGTACAGAATCCCACCTGAGTGGCAGCTTTGCATGAGTTTTGGATAAATTAAAATAAATGCCTTCCACTTGATTTTTTGCAGACTTCTCTAAAAGCATTTGCAAAAATGCTGTTGTCTGTCTGCTGCATAAAGACGTGTATTTATGCATACACAGATCTGGACAGCTATTTAATCAGCTTGTATGTGCCTGCATAACTTACAGGCATTTGATAACTGTGAGAACAACAGTATGTTAGCCCATGCAGGTCAGTTTGGTGTGTCAGTTAAACGTTTTCAGTTACAAAATATTGCTTGTCCCTTAAAATGTTATGTTCAGCTTAAAATTGCTGCCATTCTGCACTTTTACAGAGGAAACCCAGGCAGAGCTTGCAGCTCTGTGGAAAGGGCCAAGTAGTATAGAAAGGACTTTTCTTTCCTAGTCCTGCACTCATTGCAGCCTGCCTTGAAACTGGGAGTTTGGTCTGTAGCAGCCCTTTGGCAGGTTCCGGGTTCTCGGTTCTCCCTATTGGTTGCTGATATCTGACAATAAAACCACAGTACGTGAGCTGGCTGCGTAGTGTTTCCACGGAGCTGCAAACTCTGCTCGAGAGAGGCTGAGAATAGCAGCAGCGACTGCAACAGGCCATGCTCAAGAAACAGGAAAGGATCTGAAAAACCTGTCCAGCTGCTTTACACCTAATTCCCCATAAATCCTTTTGCTGCCACAAATGCAGGTGAGAAGGCGGGGAGAGAACTTGTGGCTCCCATTTTCACTGTGACTGTGCTAAAAAACTACAGCTGTTAAATCTTCAGCTCTGGCTTGGAGAACTTGTTGGGTTTTGAACACATTCCTGGAAGTGTTCAAAGCCTGACCCAAACTATCCCCACAGACTGACACTCTCCCTCTTTTTGGGTATGCCAAAGGCCCCCATCCCCACCCCCCTGAGGTCCCCATGCTGGCACAAAGCTTGTACTCCTCTCTAATTGATAAGGGATGGGCTAGCTCCAGCATAGCTGTTGCTGGGAGAGGAAAGGCATCCAGCTGCCCTGGTCCCACTGAACAGTAAATAGTCCCTGAGAGTTGTTTTCATTTTGGCTCCAGGAAGCGCAGCGTGGAAGATGATGGGCCCTCAACCAGCACAGCTGCAAAGAAAGAGAAAAAGAGCACAGGCTTTGGGGACTTCAGCTCCTGGTAGCAGCGCGGGGAGCCTAGCACTGGAGCAGCACAGCAAAAAAAAGGCGGCCTCCCACATGTCCCCGAAGAGCCCAAAAGACAGTCTGTCCTGGGGAGGGAAGGCACCAGCCTGCCCTTCCACTGGGGAAGAAAACTGTTGCTTTGTTAAGGCTGGTTAATGTGGCTTTGTTTTCTAGAGAGCTGCGTTCCCCCCACTGCATCTTCCTCGAAGGCCTTTTTGTTGTTGTTTTGCTAAGCGGGGAGCAGGCAGCCCAGCTCCGCTGGGGATTAGCTGGAGCCTTTCTCTGCTTGGCTGGCAGCAGACCAGGCAGAGCCCAGCCTTGCAGGATGCTACTTCAGTGAACAGCTACATTGGTGAAAGGGCTCCTTTTACAGGTAATCGTTTCCAGACGAGCCAAGTCTGGCAAATGAAGGAATGAATTAACATGCTGGGGAAGCGCCTGTGCTGTTGTAGTGCTTTGCGGAGGGGAGGAGAGGGCTCCAGCCTGTCCTGCCCTTCCCTCCCAGCTGCCTTTTGCTAGTTCTCAACAAGGACCAATTCTGTCTCTTGCTCTTTGTGGGCCTGCCTCCTGGCTGGACTGACTGCTGTCAGTCTCCGTAGGGCCTCGCTCACTCCAAAATGAGCTCCCTCTGTACCCATTTAAGTCTCTGACAGCCTGGGAAGCAGCGGCTCTAGATGGGGAGCCTGGGGTAGCTGCACCACTTGTTCCTCTCAGTGGCTGGCCTTCCCTAAGCCACTGGGCAGCCAGAGGGGCCAGGATGCACCAGTTCAAACCTGCCCTCGGGTCCCAGAAACTACAGCCTGGAGCAACTGAGCAGGAATAGAAACAACTTTACTTTTTTTTTTTTTCCAACCATCCCTAAAGCCTGCTCCTTGCAGGGGAACACATACTGTAGTCTGCCCCGACATCAGTCTTCCCATCATTAGGGAGAACCATATAATATAGCTGACGGGCATCTCAAATATTTCTGTTGCATACCCACAAATTATTAGAAAGCTTAATAAAGGCCTTATGGGGTAAAGATATATCAGCCTGTGAAGTTTTAATGTTTTAATCCAAAAACGTATGTGTGTTACCATCACTTAGACACAGCAGGCTAGATCCTGAACGTTACTTTTCAGTTCATCTTAGGTGTTTTCAGATGACAGAAATACCCTCCCTACCTCTCTGCGTGGCTGAGGAGATAGTTTTGTAATCAGCTTTGTAACAATACATTTATATTGGTGGTTTCATGTTTTAAGAGAAGATTCCATTTATATGAAATTGCTGTAAAAACTTTTGGTAAAATGTTTTGCATTAAATGCTTTTATTTTCTTTTGAGTGCTTGCCTTTGACTGTTCAACTGTCATTTCCAAGATCATGGCATTGCAAAGTTGATTGTCATACAAGGAAATGATTCATTCCTACTTTTTAAGATGCTCATAAGGAACTCTGGGATCTTTGCGGATATGATTACATCTTTGTTAAATCATAGGAAGTTCAAACTAGTCTGAAGGAATAATAGGGGGTTTTTATTTTGCAACATTTTGCAGTGTATAAGTTTGAAATAACGTGTTTGATTCCTGGAACAGGGGATATGATGGTACTTTCCTCAAGCTGAGTTTCTTGTGTCTTATTGAAACTTCTTGCTTCTCCTGGGCTGTTTTTTTCCTGATAAATTGCTATTGGTCCCTTCTACCTAACTTCTGCTTCAGCATGTTTTTGAGTCATCAGGTTCATAGTATTGCTAGAGCTGGAATAGGCAGTTTAATGAAATCCGTGAGAGTAAAATGCTTTTTTGTACTAGATTAAAATGGAGATTATTATGAAAGAAAGGAGCTTTTGATTACAAGGAAGGCAACAGAGGTGTGGCAAGGACTCCTATTTCAGCAAGAGTCCTTGTTACAGATTGATGTAAGGGACAGTTTCCTTTTGCAGCAGCAGGCTGCAGAGATAACTACCCGCTTTCCCTTTCTACTCCAGCTTTTTGGCAGTGCTCACTGCGGTCCACGAAGGACCACTGCCGTGCAAAGTGCAGACGGGACTGCTGCCCTTCCAAGCACTGCCTTTGCACTGCCCGTGTCATTACAATTTCCCACCATAACATCAAACACAAAAGAGAGAGCAATTTCCTGGCTTCTAGGAAGGGCTGAGCGTAACCCTTTTCGTTTTGCTCTAAGCAGGGGTGAAGCTCTTCAGCTCTTCACTGCTCGACCTGAATCCAGTTCTCAGGCTGGTCTGCTGGTGCTCCCTGCTGTTGTTGGTACCTCCCAGGCTGGGAGATGCTGGCTCTGGCCTGTCCCCAGGATGCCGCAGTGGGATGCGGAGGTTGAGCTGTTTGGCTGAGGCCATGTGCCGAGTCAGCAGCCAGGCTGGGGTTTGAACCGAGAGCCTCCCAGGGCAGCAGAACTGTCAGTGCTCAGGCAGCCAGACCCTGCAGCAAATTTTTGTTCTAAATTCCCACCTCTCTGCTCCCTCCCACACCTACATTTTTTGCATACATGGTCAATTTTTTTTTTACTTCAGCTTTTCTTCCAATCGACAAAACCACAGGAACAATGTGACACAAGCTCTTCTCTAAAAGATGAGTGAAAAGGGCGAACCATACTGATGGGCGCACAAGGTGGGTGCCCAGAGAGCAGGGCAGTGTGGTGTAGCCCTCATTTTTAAAAGACCTAGCTCTTTGCTGGGTGACTTGCAGAGTTTCCACTACCTGAGTCGGGAAAGGGGAGGAAGGAGGCTTTGCTGAAACCTTTTCTGCCCGTTTCATGGCTTGGTTCTCCAGCAAGGACCACGTGTTAAGGGAATACCCAAACCAGCTCCTGCCATGGCCGGAGGGATAGGCAGGAATGTGCAACCTTGCTACAGAAAATCACTCCTGGGAACTGCTGTGCTATTTGTAAGCACATTTTTACATTCTTTGTCTTTGACACTTTTCCAGTAAATGCACTTAGAGAGAAAAAGTAGGATTTTAACCGGAGGCTGAAATAGCTTTTGTCTGGCCTTGGCTGAGTAACACCAGTGCTCTCTTACTTTGCATTGCTCCATCCATACCTGAGTCATTTTGCTGAAAAGCAGAGGCATTGGGTGACCAGTAAATTCATCATTTCCTGAGATCTGGCACTGTAGCAGAAAACACCATGAGCACAAAGCATCCTCAAGAAGGCGGTGGCATGCGATGCGGCTGGCAGCCGTGACCACTCATTTCCATACAGCCGCACAAAGATGTGGGGCTCGCAGGAGACTCGGCTCTTCACCTCTGCTTTTTCTGGCATGCATTCAGCCTGGCCCCTCAAGGACCATAGTATTGTCTGTGTGGGAAACAGCACTAATTGAATGGTTTTCAAGCTAAATAGCTGCAACTCTATTTCCATATTTACCAAGAAAAAAAGCCCAAAATACTGTTCTTCAGTTTAATTTTGCCTGTTCCCCACTGGCTTGAATTGCTACAGCCCGCTCTCCTGGAAGCAGGAGCTCATATAAGCAATTGCTCTGCTTCAGCATCACATGGTGGATTGTACTGGTACCCATATCGTGGGGCCCTGAATTGTGAATAGTGTGTAGTCAAACTCTGTGTTTCGAGGTCTCCAAGAAAATCCTGCTTCTCCCTCCAGCTCCTTTCAAGACAGAGACCAGGCAATGAGTGTTCCCCAGAGTCCAAACCACCCTTGGCCATAAGGGTGAGGGGCTCGATGGGGTAGAGCAGAGGCATGTGAAGAATTCAGTCCAGCATGGCTTGGCTCACTTCCCATCTGTGCTAAATTTACTCCAATTTACTACTTCTTACTGTGAATTAAAAACCACACAGAACATACCTCTACCAGGTACTGCTCCAGGCAAAGGGCTGTTGTATCCTCTTGAGCCTGACCAGTGGGCACAGGGAAGATGTTCAGGCCCTGGAGCAGCCGCTGTTGGGCTGCCATTGGTACCAGAAGCGGAGCAGAGCACAGGCAGAGACGAATGGACAGAAAACCTGGAGGAGCCTGTGATGGTTGGTATGATGGGGATGGGGGAAGGAAGGGCTGCTGGGTGTGCCAGGATGCCTCGCTGGAACCCAGCCTGCGGGTTGCAGCTATCAGACTCTTGAAGTGGCTGCTGGACACACCAGGCGGTGGAGCTAAAGCAGAGGAGGTGAGAAGCGCTGGGGCTGCCTTCCAGGGCTCCCTGCCTCACAGGCTTGGGGATCTCACCAGGCATATCTCAGAGATGGCACATCCCTGCCTCAAGGCAGCTGCCCACGCCGGTGCCTCCACCTTGCACAGATGTCCTTGGGAACCTCACAGAGGGGAACCAAATACCTGATGGGATCCATTCCGCTCTTAGGGTCTTTCCTGGCCAATTCCTGGCAGTTTTTTGCAGAGGTTTCCCAACCCTTAGTGCCTCCACGTGCACCTGCCACAGGGCACATGCTTGTGTGTTGGCTCCAATACAGACCTACTTGACCCCAGCCTCTGCTGGGGCTGCTGAGCTCTGCTTCTGTGTTTTCCAACCTGACTTGGCCCCAGAGACCTCAGGGTGAGAAGCCAGGATGAGCACCCACTTCCCTGCCCAGGTGAGGGGCATTTGTGCCCCTTTGGTCCCCTGGGCTTTGACTCGATGTCCGTGGTCTGAGCTTTGATGCAGCTTTTGTTCAAGAGCGGTGGTCAACCAGCCCTTGGCTGGCTGCAAAGTTGCCAGCAGAAAACAAAAATCCACTTCTCAGGTTGTGGCAGGGCTCCTGTGGGTGCTGGGCATCCCCCCGGGGTGAGCTGCTTCCTGGTGGCTCTGGGGCAGCTGCATCCCCACTGCCCTGGCATGCGGATCTGCACCAAAGGCTGTCTTGTTGAAACCAAGGGAGCATGCTAAGGCTTCATATCCCTCACCTAGCATGAAAAGCAGAATTAATAGCAGAAATAATAGCAGCAAAAGTTGCTGCTTATCTGCCCAATTCCCTTTGGAAGAGCCTGTGGTCCCATAGGAAACCTGCAGGAGCAATGCTGTGTCCGGTGTGGCCATACAGTGCGTCTGCCTGGGAGATCTGCTCCGAGTTGATGCAGTTTGTGCCATTGGCACCGAGGCTTGAAGGACAGCGAGGTAAAGGTTGCCTTTGGAGCTATAGAAATAGTTTAGGGCAGCTGCAGGTCTTGTGGTTGCATATGGGTGGGCTTGCAGGGAAGTACAGGGTTTTGGTTCAAAAGCAGCAGTGTGTTGGTTTAACACTGCCTATGCTGGTGCGTCGAGGGCTGGTCTCCACTGCCCGAATCCTGCATGCGGATGGCAGATACCAGTACCTGGTCAGTACCATGACCAGGGGTTAAGCAAAAGCAGTGAAGGGCTCAAGTGCTAAATGCAACCAAGTCATGGCCAAGCCCTTTGAAGGAAGGGGGAGGCCGAGCACACTGGAGCTGACGGGTGCCAGAGGGTCAGTGCCGCTGGCTCCACTCTGTTGCACACACAGCCAGACAGGCGCAGCATTGGTGGGTGCAGAGGGCTCTTGCAGCCCCCCACTGGGCACATGTGACACCATCATGGGCTGCGTCAGTCCCCTCAGCTGGTGGCAGAGCCGCAGGCATGGCCATAGCCACCCTGCAGCCGGTGGGAGCAGCTGGCAGATAAACCCAGTGCTCAGACACTGGGTTATAAGTATCACATATTTCTGGGATCCCGCACCACCCCTCGGCAGCGGTGTTTGGAAGGAACAGGATGCCGGAAACCCTGTGCCAGGAAGCAGCTTTCATAAGCAAGGGAGGGGATTTGCCGAACACCCCCCTCCAAGTTTCAACACTTTGCTTTGGAAAAGGCAAACGAACTAAATCAGACTGAACAGGAAGGAGATGGGCAGCTGCCTGCCCTGGCCAGCAACGGGTTACACCGCACCACGCAGCCAGGGATTTCTCGCTTCCTCTGTTTCTTCGGAAACCAAATTTGTTATCACAGCCGTGGCAGAGGATTTAACCGCCCTGTACCGTGACTGCAGGGAAGGGGCCAGAGCCAAGGCTATGCTCAGAGCTTGGGGAGCACAGCGCCTCCGCTCCAGGACACCTACCTCCATGGCAGCAACATCCAACCCCATTGGCTCAGACCTCTGTGTCCCCATACCTGCTACCCACAGGGACCAGGACCCCTGCTGCAGTGCAAGGCTGTGACCAGGCTGCAGTGCTGGGAGGGACAACGGGGTGGCTTCACACCCTCCTGCCCTGCCATGCAGCCACCAGCATCCACCCACCCACCCCATGTGCTCTTTTAGCTGACCAATCTGGCACAAACAGCCAGCGGTGGGTTTGCTTCTCGGGCCTTAAACCCTGCAGCAGAAAACACCTCTAAAAAAGCAGAAGGAGCTCAATGGGGGGATCGAAGAGGAGAAGGGCTCACAGTGGTGTCAGCCCTGCTGGTGTGAAAGTCGCCATGGCAGTTCAGTCCCTTCCCCACTCTCACAGCCCCCACCTCCTGCACACCCTTTGGGCAGCCCAGGCAGGTTTTGGGAGGCTCCAGCTGTGGCTGCTGGTGCCCAGTGAGCAACAGTTGTGGCCATGCAGTGTTGTAGCCAACCACAGTGTGTGTGTGTCCCACGCTGGACACCTTCATCGGGAGGCAGCGGTAGCTGGTGAGCTGCGGTGCTGCGTTGGGGCCTATGGGCACAGCACCACTGTTCGCAGCCAAGAGCGTGCATGAAAGTGTGCATAGGGCTTTTT